AATTCCTGAGATCTTTTTGAAAGTGGGCAGTGTCTTTCACTCCATAGGAAGGGACAGGATTGAAAAATGCAAATAACTGTATACATGTCTGTGCAAATAGCTGATATCAGATCTGGTCTTTGAAAATAAGCTTTGACAGATGAGAAGGGAGAGAGGGAGGTCTTCACTAGAGCTAGAACCTCATCTAAGACTTCAGAGAGCCAACAGGAAAGAATAAGGCTGGTGGCTAATGACAGGTGGCACCTGCCTTGCAACAGCGAGGCTCTGATTGTGCACTAATCTCTCTTCCTCTCAAATGTCATTCTCATTCCACATAAAGTAACAAAACAAATTTTCTTTTGACCTCAGAAAAAATGCAGTATTTCTCAAAGTGTGATCTCCAAGAACATAGCACCAGAATCACCCCAAAAAGTACCACTAGTCCCAGGTGCTCCACACTCATGACCACAGAGTGCTCTGAAGCCAGGCCCATTAGTTAGCCTTTGCAGCCAGCTCGCAAGACGACATTGGGACCGATTTTGAGCAAGTCTGAGAATTCTTGCTCTAGAGGCCAATGTAGACAATGGGAGTACTATTGTCTCCTGTTGACCACACTCAGTTTTGAAAGATATAGAGGTAAATCTTTATGGAAGTTATTTTGTGAAATATCTTTTGTATCTCTTCTTTTTTCTTACCTTAAAACCATATGGTATATTTTCTAAACAATTGGCAAACCTGTGCATGTATCATTTCACTTTGAGGTGCCAATGTATTTATATCTGTATCTGCATATAGACTTTTTGCATGACTCTCATCACTTTCTTCCCTCATCTACTCTCATCCCCACCAAGACCTAGTAAGCTGTATTTCACCTAGTCTCCAATCTCCCTTATAATCATGTGTGCGCACACACAAATATAAACTCAAACATACTTAGGGAGGTCTATAGGAATATATTTTAAATTCCTTTCTGCATTTTGCTATTCTCACCCAACAAAACCTAATAAACTGCTTCTATATTATAAGGTTTAAGTAAAATTTAGTTTTTAAATGGTTGTATATGATTTTGCAGTGTGGATGGATCATGATTTAATCATTCCCTGTTGAGGGGCATATTTGTTCCTAGGTCCCTACTACAATGAACAATGCAGCAATTAACATCTTTGCATCTTAAATATTTGCTTTATTTCCAATGCAGAGATTCTTATTCATATGATAGAGAATGGTGTGTTTGGTATATAGCAATTAATGTAGTCTTCTTAACAAGTTATGTGCATTTTTTACCATTTGCAGTATTAAGTATATTATTATTTTTGATAACTCTTGCCAGTTTGCTTACCAAATAAGACAATATTAATTTTAATGATAATTCACATAAAAGCACTTTTCCACTTTTTGACTTCTTATTACAAAAATTTATATTGGTGGCAAAGGGTAACTGGTTATATAAATGTGTAATATTGGATATTATATGGTCTTCATTTCCTAGTGTTTCAATTATTTATTTATTTATTTATTTATTTTTGGTGGTACTAGGGTTTGAACTCAGAGCCTCAAGCTTGCAAGATAGGCCTTCTACCACTTGAGCCACTACCTTAGCTCTTTTTTGTTTTTGTCACTTTTTTTGGATAGGGTCTCACATTTTTGCCCAAGCTGGCTTGGATAGTGATCCTCCCATGTACACCTCCAGTATTGCCTGGATAACAACTATATGCCACCATACCGTTATTGATTGAGATGGGGTCTTACAAGGTTTTTGCCCAGGCTGGCCTTAAACCATGATCCTCCTGATTTGTCTCCCGAGTAGCTTGGATTACAAGCACGAGCTGCCACTCTTGGTCTTAATTTTTGAAGAAGCATTGTACCTGTCACTGAAGGTTCACAATATTGTCCATTACAAGCAAATGAGGATCGAGGTCTGGGGTACTAAAAGGGGTTTAGGCAAGAAAGCAAATGAACAAAACCAATAGAGCAAACAAAAACAGTTTGTCCTCCAAATATTTAGCATATATTGGATTTGATAGTAGTTAGGTAGATAGAGGATGACATATAGATACATAGAAAAAAACTTCCAGTATTTGCCTTGCCTTGCCCACAGTCAAATCTGATAGGATCAGCTTTTCCACAGTTAAATATGTAGGACCAGTCAAAAAACATTTTCTGGGAGCAACAGCCATCCTCATTTTTTCAATGAACTGGGCAGGGGTTGAGGGGGTGTGACTTTGCTGAATGCATCTCAAATAATACTTGTTCAATTTTTTGGTGTTTGTTTGTTTTGCCTGGGTCTCACTGTGTCCCAGAATGACCTTAAAGTCCTGCATTCAAGGACCCAGGCTCCTGTCTCAGTCACTGGGTATCTAGGACTATTGGACACTCACCATACCCAGCTTGAACATCTGTCAGTGTTCAGCAAGTCATCATGGTGCACAGACACTTTGCTTTGTGGCCAATTCCAAAGTGCCATTTGTAGTTCATAAGAAATGACAAGATACAAAATGCAGTAGAGAAGAGACAGAAGGAGAGGTAGAAAAGAAGAGGAGTATTAGATCTGTGAACTAAGAGAAAACAGCTTAATAATGGAAGAAAAGACACATAGGATAGCTTGCACAGGCAGAGTTGCTGTGGAAGCACATTCCAGGAAAATCTTAAGAGATTACTTTAATAATAAACCATGCATTCTTCAGCAAGCCGTCACGGGATTAACTACCCCTTTCCTAGACTGGGAGCACAGTCCGTTTTTTTGTTGTTTTTTTTTTTTTTTCCCCTTCTCTCTCACAGGCAAGTTTTGTGTAAAGGACAACTGTCAGCAGGGTCCATGGTTTTTCAAACATCGCATTTAATTTTTTTCACCTTAATTTTCTAAACATGAATTTTGGCAAGGACAAGAAAAGACTGTGTTTGGGGTGAGTAAATAACCAGGTGGTCTTTGGTGTGATTCTACAGATGCAACCATGTTCATGTTAGACCTACTGAAAAGTGAACAACTTAGATGTGACAGGAAGCAGTGTTTCCTGGGATAAAAAGAGTTAAATTTATTTTCATTCCTTTTTTTTCCCTCTTAATGTGAGCAGGACATTGAATTACTGCCAGAAGCAATATCAGCACCCTAGAGATACAAAAATACACTTCAAACCAGAATTCTTCACTGTCGACTCTTAAGATTCCTGTGTAAAACAAGAGGTGTCCATTTAAGCTGTGGATGTGAGCCTGCTGCTCACAAAGGAGCTGTTCTCACCAAACTCTTCTCTTCAAACTACAGCTCATACCAGATGAAATCATTTTCTTTCTCTGGCTTCTTAGACAAATCCCATCCATTTGGTGGGGTAGAGCAAACATAAGTTAACATTTCCTGTAAGTCTTTTCATTAAAAAATAGTTTTGGGTGGGCACTTCTGAGTTGAGAAAATATTGCAAAGTAAAGTTCAAAGAGACCCATTTCTTTTGTATTGTCAAAGTCCTTATTTGCCTGAAATCAGCTGTCTTCTTTTCCCCCTAGTTCTTTAAAACTTTAGAAGTGAAACCATCTCTCTAGAGCTCTAGATTTTAGAAATAAAGGCTATGCCCTCAGAGGTACCAGGATTAAAGATCTCACTTAAATGTTATAAATGCTTCCTAAGACTAAAATTTATAGACTTCTTGTCACTCACCAAAGTCATTTTTTAAATCATAGCAAATTACCTCAGAGGAATATTGAAAATGGTCAACATCACCCCTTGGACCCCTGCGTGCCCAGGTGTGGGGAATGAGCCTCATGGCAGGAGAGGTGACATCCCTGGCCAGCTGTGCCGCTCTGCACCAGGTCACTGCACACTGGCTGTTCCAAGCCTGACCTACTTGTGAGCAGGGACTGCCACTCACATTGAGCTACCCAAAATTACACAGTGGCTTTGCAGCCGGGGCTCGCATGGACCACAAAATACATCCTTGGTGGCCATAAACCCAATTTGAGCCCTCGGTTTCCAGAGGTGAAATGCAAATCCATTGTGTTGCTTACTCAATAAAATCAATAACCCCTCCCATATAAGTCACAATTTGGCATTTTCATAGTTATTACACTCTGTGACATTTCTTTAAAAAAAGGTAGACATACCTCTTTCACAAGAAAAATTTCTTAATTTTTAAAAAGCACCGGAGCTTCTGTGAATGTTTTGTAATTGTTCCTGATTTTAAAAATATGGAGAAAATGAATTCCTAGTTTGTAAATGTTTGCTAAGGTATGATTTCTAGAACCTTCTGCTGAACATTAACATCAACATTTTAACACAATTTGCTTGTTATACCTCACTTTTTTCGTGAAGGAATAGAAAATGCTACAGAAATTAATACAGATGAAGTCATGGTATGCGTCTACACACAGACAGACATATATACACAGTAAGGAAAGCCAAGATATAATCTTTGGTTATATCAGAAATATAGCTCACTTAGGTTATCTAGACATGAACATATTTTGCTTCTATCGACTTCGAAGAGAATATTACTTTTTATCTGTACACACAGGATTATATTTCACATGCAAATACAGCATGTCTCACATATGCACACAGATTTCTCTCCAATTTCAAGGCTTACACGTTTGCAATGAAAGACACTGATTTCTTTAAAGGGAGCAATTCGCACGTTCAACTTTAGCAATAGCAGATCGGGGCTGGGACCCACCGTCCCTGGTCGGTCCCCCACGTCGTGATGAGTAAAGACAGCACTTCGCGTGCCACATCACTCCAAGTGGCAATCCACGGGAACGGATTTGTGAAATGCGGCTCGGTGGATCCCACCCCTTTCCTCCAGAGTTTCCCTTTCCTGTCCTTATTTGCACCCTCCCCCGCCCGGCGGGCTGGGGCTCCTGGCTTCGCCCTTGCAGCGTTTCCTGCGGGTCGCGCGGGTCGGTCGCGGCGATCGCCCCCAGCTGGCGGGGCCGGCGGGGCTGGCGGGGCGCCGGGGGCTCGGTCCTCCGGCAGCTGCAGCGCGAGTTAATAAACAGTTAAGTTTGGAAGACTCGGCAGACACGTTGAGGGGGAGTTACCAAACCCAGGCAGCAAAAACATCCCGGCGCATTCCTGGGGAGTCCTCAGCTGCCAGCATCTGATTAGAACCATATCTCGCCGGGAGTGGCCGCGCGGCTCCGAGGCTCCCGGCCGGCGGCTATTTAAGCGGAGCCCACCGTGTCGGCTGCGCTGCAGCCCGGAGGCTCCGCGCGCGGGGAAGTCATGCTCGCTCCGCAGAGGCGCTAGCTAGCCCGTGAGTAGCTTTGCAATCTTCCTTCCCCTTGGCTCCATTTTTCTTTTCTTTTTTTTTTTTTTTTTGCGAGCTCCTTTTCTCCTTTGCTACTCCAACCCCACCCCCCACCACCCCTACCCCCGCTTCCACCTCTCCTGCCTTGGGTGCAGACCTTGGGCTGTGGGGAATCTTAGAAATGAGACAGTGTTCTTGGGGAAGCAAGCGGTTTTGCGGCCTGACATCTGTGGAATGCTTCCAAGGAATGCATTTACCTTTGAGGTCTGACTTCAGATGCCCATCTTGTGACATTTAACAAGCGCCTCCTTTTGTGTGTGTGCCTGTGCGTTCCTGTTTAAAAGCTTTGCTGGCGGCCCTGGTAGGATAGGACGCTGGTGTGGCTGCTGACTGTCTCATTAACTCTTGAAGGGTGTTTTTTGTGTGTTTTGTGTTTTGTTTTTTCGCCCTGTGACAAAGGCCAGGGACCTAGTTTGTGACTACAGGAGCTTTTTCCTGGTGGCCGACAGCATATGGCACTAAAATGTGAACTTTGTCTTACACCGGCATTCCTAAGAAAGTATCTGCTCTAGGGACATAACGAACTTGTTTGAAATCCCCGAAGCTGTGAAATGGTGTTTGCTTGACTTCTGTAAACTGGCTGGGAAGATTAAGTAAGAAATTCTAGAAAAGGGGGAAAAATGAATGGGTTAAAACCTTGGAGTCCCGGTCAACATAGCGGTTTTCATGGCATAGAGCTGACTCTGTTATTTGTTTCTGCCGTCTTTCCTTCTTGACTTAATCCTAAGCCTGGAATTCAGATCCACAGTCACTTTCACCAGCGAGTTGTTGGAGTCCAAAGGGAAATTTAACTAGATTAAAACCACTTAAAGAATCTGGATGTTATCTCCACCTATGCACCCCCACCTTTTCCTCCTTTTTTAAAGCTCCTGTTTGGGAGAAAGAGAGCCACTCTAAAACCAGAAAAGCAGGAACAAGCCTCCAGACACATGGAAAGATTTAAAAATTATGGAGGGCGACTTCATGAATAGTAAATGTTGCTGTTGCGCTATAAAGTGACTTAATGAAAAAATTTCTGGCCCTAATCAGGCAGAGCAGGAGATTGGGGGAGAAGGAGGTAAAACATAACTCAAGCTGGAGTAACGACAAAAGAAAGAAGGCAGTTACAAAAAACGCCTTCGAGATGTCTGATAAGGCTCCTGGAATGGCTTTGATGGGATTGATCTTTTGATGGGATTGATCTTTCTTCCAATCTTGAGGTCATCTCCCAACACAGAAGTGTCTACTGGCTGTTGGAGAACCCCGAAATAGTTGGGAATAGGGGAGCCTCACAGCTACCTAGTGGCCTGGCCCCATTAACTCCCCTTCTTGCCCTTGAGTAGGCTGCCCCTCTCTGGCCAAGTGCCCCACCCGACTCAGCTTCTATCCCTCCCCTCACTGAAGTGAGATAGCCTTGATGACATTGTAAGCAAGTCTATTGCCTTGAGAATTCAGGAGCATTGAGATTTGAACTTTCCTTAGTCATTGACCTTTTTGGTGAAGAGCTGGATATCTGGAAAAAGCAATGCCACATGTAATGCAGCTTGGAGGGTGCAATGTAGCAAGTCTTCTAGGGAAAGTGCAAAGAAGGCTTTCCAATGTCTATTTGAAGGACAGACCACTTCTTCCAGATTCTTAATCAGTTTTCTCCTAAATCCAACTGGATTGATGAATAACTTCCCCCTTCTCTTCCTTCTTCCAGCTCTGTCCCTTCTTATCCAATCATTGCCCTAGAAACTGGTTGTTACCAAGCTACCCTCCAGAAGAAGTAGATTGTGGGGAAATGTCTTTGAACTCTTGCACACATATATTTACCATTCTGGTGATGCTGGATGCACAATTGATCTTCACCTGAGGATATAGGGGAGGTGAGAGGAGGGAACCACAGCACTTGTTAAAAGCCTTGCCTGATTTATGAAGGACAAAATCCAGAGTTTGCATTTCTACTAAGGACTTTTTATGGTTTACAATTAAATTAATAGTCCAAATTCCTGTGCATTAGCCTATTTGTTGTCTTGTGCCAAAGGTTGGATGGATTTCAGTTGTCTTGTTGGGGTGAAAGGGCGTTGCTTTTAAGGTACTTGTCATGACAGTGATGTAGGCACCTCTGAAAGCTGCAGACCAGCTGGTCAAATTGATCTTCATTAGGCTGCACACTCATGCTTCAATTACCTGAAAACTAAGCAGAAAAATGTATAATTTGCTGAGTGGCTCATGGCCAGCAGGAGACTTTGTGGAGGATTGGGCTCCTTTTATATGTCCTCATATGTCCATAAGCCCAAGTTTGCTGCCACCAATACTTTGACTTGGTTGGCTTTGCAGGCACTATAGACCTTTTCTTCATTTTCTGTCATCTTGGGGATTTAATTATTACTGTTCTTAAAGACAAAGCTGAGATGCTAAAATACACATAAAGGATACTGAGGACTAAGTTCTCCAGGGATTTAAGTTGCCCTAATGCTCATCAGAGCTCATGTCTCCCCCATCTGGAAGGTCTGCAAGGTGACTGGAAAGGCGGGTTTAGTAACTGACCAAACACATAAGGTTTTCTACTTTTCTGACAGAACCAGAATGGGAACCAGATTGGCAATATGAAACACCTGAGTAACAGGATGTGGTATTTTAAAATTCTTCTGGCTCTGCTATGTAAGTCTAAAGTTGAAGAGTGCTACCGAATTGCACAGAGGCTGGCCAAAGTTACATTTAGATATAAGATATGTTTGTTTAAGGGAAACCGAAATCATGTTAAGGTATCTTGATGGATTGATCACATGAATTGGAAGGAAAACAGGCTACCAGTTCTCCTCTTGGAGGCAAAACCCAGACAAATTCCTGATGAGAGGAACAAATGATGCTGGGTATAGACACAAAGGGTTAGGATTCATATGCTAGTTATTGCCCTCTAACTGGCACAATTGGGCTTTTGTCCGGGGTTCTGAAGCTCATTCCATAGGTTCAAATCCCATCTATACAACCACTAGTAAAATGACATTGGGCATATGACATAGTCTCTCTAATCTGGGGGAAGAATAATAGTATCTACTCCAGGGTTGTTGGGAAGACAAGTTAGACTGTATACTTAGAATACTTTATTCTATCTAATTGAGAGATGTTGGCTTGTTTTGGGCCTCTGAACAAATGAATTATGTGTCTTTTGTGAAAACTGAAGCCAATGGGGAATTTATTCATCAAAATTAGATACCATCCACCTACCTGAAAATGTTAATCATTCAAGCACTTAATTTTAACAAAGCCAGCATGTTTGCTTGTGTTCACACTAGAACAGACAGGGAGTTACTCTCTGTTCTCAGCCTGGAAGCCTGCTGTTTGGTTTGGTCAAAATGACCTCTGGTCTTATTTAAGTCTTCTCCACACCCTCTCAGACTCCCTACAGAGAAGGAGCAACCCTTCCACCAAAGTCAGCAGTCTAGCTAAGGAAGTGGGGAGGGAGGGACCACCCGGACTAAGAGAAACTACGCTAGAAATGAAAATTCTTCCCAGGACATAGTGCGGGGCCCCATACTATCATTACCCACATTGCTGGGCAGGTTGCCATGGTTACTCCCCTTCCCGCATCCTTTCTTACCCTGGAAGGAAGCCTGCCTCTAGGGCAAGCAGAATCTGGACAAATTGCTTCCTGGTCTAAAAATGGAAGTTACTAAGTGAAGTAGAATTGCCTCTCTACTTACATTGCCCTTTCCCCACCCCTAAAATTTATTTGACTTCCAATATTTAACTTCCTAATCTCTGCTAGTTCTTACATCATCTAGATAGAAAACATGAAGGCTTATAAAATTTGAGAAAGAAAAGTTATTGCCTCAATATAGAAGCCATCTGGCAATTTCTGTCTACTATCATAACTTACACAAGCTAGCTGGGGGCAAGTGACCTTTAGCTGACGCAAGCGGGTAAGAATTCTGAGTAATGGGGCAGGGCCACTAAACGTTAAGGTATAGGGAAGTTACCAGGAACCAGAATGTGTGATGACTGTCACTTAGATTTTCAGGTAACCACAGAGTAAAAGGAGAGGGAAAAATAGGAAGTAATAATTCTAGAAAGTCAGGCTTGAAATATTGGCTATGGGCTGGGGAGCTCGGTGGTAGAACATCTGCCCAGTATGGATGAAGCCCTGGGTTCAATCCTCAACACAGCAAAAAAATAAATAAATAAAAAATAAAAAATATTGTTCAACCTGGAAAAAAATTGGGTGATGGATATAAAATTTTAACATTTTCTCTTGGTAAAAGACTATTTTTCCTTAGCAATATAATGCAAAATGTTGCTATAAAATAGACTTAGGCTTTCATGTGACAGAAGTACTGCCTTACATAAATTTGTTTGTAACAAATTAATTTAGTCTCTCAAGTTTTGACACTTAGTTAACTTGTTGTGTATTTCACAGCTAGAGAGAACACTTCTGAGTCAGTGATTCTGAGAGTGTGGTCTCCATCCCAGTTCTCCTGAATCAAGTTCTGGCAGCTGTATTTCTGCAAGCCCCCACTGTGATGTAAGAGTAATTTTTATATAATTCAGTTTTAGGATTGGGTTGTTCAACAGAAAGTGTAACAAAGTATTTGAATTCCTACAGTCATGGAAATAATAAAGCAAAAACATTTAAAGACAATTAAATTTAACTGAATCTTAGGATGAAGAAAGATAAAAATAGTACAGACCTTGGACGTTTTTCCTGGCATCCCAAATATTGCTTTCTTAATCCTAAGAAACACAATATTCTCCTTAATTTTATCTTATCACCTCACTTCTAAATCCTTTCTCCTTTGCTGGGGTTTTTAAAGAGTACAATTAATCTCCATTTATTAGAAGACTGTCTCAGTTACTTCTTTGAAAGGAGACCAGTAAACTAGATCATTACCCTTGAATCAGATGGTTTTCTCTAGCCTATAAAATTTTTATTTTGTTTTTCATGCTATCTCCAGAAGTACAGATGAAGGCCCCTTCATAAATGA